TTACGAATAATAACAAACCAAACTCTAAGAGACAGAGTAAGAAGTGAGGAAATACGAGCGAGATGTGGTATAGAGGAAATAAACGCGTGGACCAAAAGAAGAAAAGTGGAATGGAATCAACACATCAAAAGAATGACAGAAAATAGAATAGTACGAATAGCAAGAGACAAATCGCCAAATTAAAGAAGATCATTGGGACGACGATAAAAAGATGGTCAGATAACGTCCATTGAGGCTAAAAATCGAAGTAAAACAGGCATTTAGCCTATTTATAAAGTAGGAAGAAAAAGAAGAATATCTTAGATATAATACTACTACAGCATCGTTTTAGCTTTTTGCCATCGAAAAAGCTGTAGGACGGATTTAAAAGGAAAATATTAAAGTAGTTGTGATAATAACAAATTCAAGATATGAAATATAAAAATTAATTTGTATAAAGTGGAAGTGGTATTCCTATGAACATAATAGGTGACGAAAAAGTATACTGGTTGGCGAAAGATGAAATAACAAAGGGTGAGATTTTAACTCACATTTTATCAAGTGATGCAGTAAATGACGTTAAATTTAAAATATATAAAATATGGGAAAAAGAATTTGGGAAAACAATATTAACAATTATTTTTATTATCAATTTGAAAGGATATTCTATTAAGTCTCTGCAACGTTATAATTAGACTTCGGCAAATATGCATATTGCATATTTTGCATATTGTGCATATTTTATGCAAATATTTCATATTTTGGCATATTTGTATAAAAGTTTGCATAAAGTGCATAAAAGTTCAGATTTTTATACTGTATTTGAAAATTTTTAAACATACCAATTTATTTCAATTCTTGTATAAAATTTTGTAGTCATTTTAATCAAGACATGATCTAAGTACGTAATCTCTACAGGTACAAAACATTTACAATTTCAAAGAAGATCAATTTAAGTAGCCCTCAACGTTCTTAGAAAGTCTCGGTCACTGAGGCATTCAGCTATTGGATAATCGCTAAGGGTTCGCTCATTTGCATTTTATGATCTAATCTCCAAATCTATCTAGGTACAATTTATTGTATCTTAACAGCAGGTAAACGGCTAATAGTTTTAATCCTAATTTAGGGATTTTCCAAAATCTCCCAGTTTATTGAATTAGGTACCTAAACATTTCTAATTTGATGCTCAGATTTATAAATCATTTTTGTTTTGATATTCAAAGCGTAAACACTCGTTGTGCGTACCAAAAAGGAAGATTGTGATTTTATAATGCCTAAAACAACCAGTGCTTCAACTTGGATTAAACCTTATCAAGAGCTGTCTATGGATATGGGAAAAATCTACTGTTCAGTCTGTGGCAAAATTGTAAGTATCTAATATTTTCTATTAAATATCTAATATTTCATACATACAAGGTGTTTCCAAATGACACTTACAACGTTTGACTGTAGATACTTTTCGAAAAATTGAACAAAACGATATAGTTAATGAGGGGTCAAACTTATTTACTTTTCGAGATACAGGGTGTTAAAATTAAAAAAAATTAAATTCTTTTAGTTAATAATAACAATAACTTTAAAACCAATAAACGTATTTACTTGAAATTTAGTACTCGTAGGTTGTTTTTAAATGAAAAATAGCTTCCTTTAGTGAGAAAAAATTGTCCATGGTACAATACAATGGTGTGTATTTAGAAAAATTTTTCACCTTTACTTTTTTTTATGAAGTCAGCTATTCTAAAACACAATTATTTTTATTGTAATTGAATTAACAAAAAAAACTTTTGTTGAATTTTAAAATAAGTTATATGATGTACTAATGGTTAGTAACAAAAACTAATTTGTGGATTAATACTGCATTTAAAACACTTAGCGAGTGTTTTTTTTTCAAACCAGTTATTTGATTAACCAAAAACACCCTGTATATTTTAATATTTTAAAGGTTGGGTTAAAATAAAGGTTTTTATTTTTATTTATAGATAGCATGTGAGAAGAAATTTCAGATAGACCAACATGTGAGAACTGCTCCACACATTGCAAAAAAAGGGAAAATAGGAGGAAAACATCAAACTTCAATGGCTAAATGTTTCCAATCTACTTCAAAAAAATTAGATGAGCAAGAAACTTTTAATAAAGACTTGTGTCGCGCATTAGTGTCTGCAAACATACCGCTTTCAAAATTAGCAAATGTAAATTTTAGTTCGTTTCTAAAAAAATATTGCAAACTTAATGTTCCAAGTGATCGATCTCTAAGAAGAAATAATGTGAACGGGCTATACTCGTCGGTGTTAATTAATATTAAGGAAGAAATTGCAGATAATTATTTTTACATATCTGTAGACGCAACCACTGATTCCTCAGGAAAGTATATTGCTCATTTATTGATTGGTGTTCTTACCTTACCTCTTACGTATAAGAAGATACCTTACCAAAATCTCATCTTATTTCATGCCAGCAACTTGAGAAAACAAATGCTTTAACAATTTCGCGTTTTATACAAGAAACATTAGCAACTTTTTTTCTTCCGACAACTATTCCTTCTAATGAATTGCTGCTTATTTTATCGGATGCTGCTCCTTATATGGTGAAAGCAGGACAAAATTTAAAAATATTTTTCCCAGATTTAATACATGTTACTTGTGTAGCGCATGGATTAAACAGAGTTGCAGAGGAAATACGAAAAAAGTTTCCTCTTGTAAATACCATGATATCCAGTGTCAAAAAAGTATTTCTTAAATCTCCTATAAGAATTCAACTTTATAAAGAAATGCTACCTAACATTCCTCTTCCACTACAACCTATTTTAACGCGATGGGGAACATGGTTAGAAGCAGCTAATTTTTATCATTTTGTTAAAATAAAGAACATAATTGATACGTTAACAGATGAAACTTCCCAATCTCTTTTGGATTCTAAACAAACTTTTCAGAGTAACTTGCTTTAACAAGAACTTTCATTTATAAAATCAAATTTTAGTTTTGTTCAAAAAAGAATTACTCAGTTAGAATCACCAAAACTGTCATTGTTCGAAAGTACATCATTAATAAAAGAATTTGCGTCATGTTGTCGGAACGTTAGAGGTAATATTGGAAAAGATATTTTAAAAAAATTTGAAGCTGCTATGGAAAAAAATAAAGGTTACCATATTCTTTCTGAAGTAGTCAGTGTTCTAGCTGGAAATATTTCGGAAACAATTAATTTAGAACCAAATGTTTTGGTTAGTTTGAAAAATGCTCCCGTTACATCAGTTGATGTTGAACGAAGTTTTTCCATATATAAATATACTAGCGTCTAGCCGTTGGCAGGTCAGGATAATCCTGACCAATCAAATCGCACTTGATTTTGTGTGTGGCGCGTCATTCAAATTATGTACAGGTTTGAATGTAACAGTTCTCATTTCTCATACCACGAAACGTTTTCAGATTGTTCACACAATCAAGGAGTTATGGTTAATTGTTTTGAATACACAGTTTTAATATTTTACATATTATAAATATTATTGCGAGTTGGCAACAAGTGACAAGACAGTAGACAGTGACACAAAGGCTTGTCCACAGATCAGATCGGGTTTGTCACTTATTATTATTATAGATCATAGTTGTTGTTATGTTGTTGTATAATAAAAATAATAACCACAATTCCTTTGCTTTCGAAATTAAAGCAGCCTGACCTATGACACAGAAACTTCATTGTTTTGTGAGTCTGTGGAAAAGTTCTCTACTTTAAAGTATTTTGTTTTTGTACTACTTTCAATAGAACATTCCCACTCCTGAAAAGAGGCTAAATTGGAAAATTGAAGTGTTTCACTTTCTAGGATTAGGTTGTGTTCTTCTTGAAAGTGAGTGTGCAATTCTGCAACATAACTTAAATGAAAATTACACAAGGGACACTTCTTGAATCTTGTGACACAAAGACCTGCTTGTCACTTATTATAAATCATAGTTGTTGTATATTAAAAATAATAATCACAATAAGATGGTATGTACATGGAAGTGATATAATAAATATTTAAAACAAGTTATATTGTTTATGTATACTTGCAATATATAATATCCATACCTCAGAGGTAAAGGACACTATGTCCATTTTCTTACTTTTTAAGAAGAGCAGTTTTAACAGTTAAATATCAGAAACATTTGAGTATTTACTGATTACAAATTTAAAAAATGTTAAAACTGCTCTCCTCAAAAAGTAAGAAAATGGACATAGTGTCCTTTACCTCCGAGGTATGGATATATGATAATAAATCTCAAAGATATAACATGATCCAGGTGTAGTGTTTATAGAGAACAAATATAATAATGGAAAGTTTTAAGTTCTTCAGTAGAATTCATATACCTGGATAAACTTTTGTTTAATTTGTAACAGATTTGAGAGTCCAAGCCAAATTATGTGAATTTTGAGAACAAGAAGGTTAATTCGGGATAGAATAGTTAAAGGAGTAGATGATAATGCTTTACAAGAAATACTGCTAGGATAAATAGATTTAAATATACGAAAAGCAGTAGACATGTGCAGTCTTACAGAAGCAGGCAAAACTTTTACAAGAAAAAGAGGTAAATGCAGTCAGAAAAGGAGTTCCCAAGTAGAGACTGACCCAAAATGAAGAACTTTTAAATAAGTTTTTTTGTGTGGAAATATTGTTAAATTTAATATACCTATGTATATATGTTATTCAGTAAATCACTACAGTTGACAAAGAATTACTTTATTAATATTGCAAGTCATTGTATGTATACCTCTAATATGTTATACAGTCTGAAAAATGAAAGATTACCCATAAACGATCATATCAATCACTTATTTTGTATTTGCTCACTTTTTCTATAACAAACATTTGTTATTTATAGAAAAAGACAGCAAATACAAAATAAGTGATTGTTATGATCCAATTTTTAATTTTTCCAGCTGTATATCTGCCAGATATAACTAAACTAAAGGGACTAAGCATTTTTTATCTTTATAGAGAGTTATAGGTAGTGAATGAATAAAACAACCAAATTTATAATAATTTGTAATATCTTAGATAAAATACATAATGTTTATAAATTATTATTTGCACACATAGTCTGATAACCTGAACTAGCAAACTAGTAGTTTTTATGTCTAATAAAAAAAGTAGAATAGCTACTGTTTTGAAACTAAATTTAAAGATAGCAAGTCAGTCTCTTCAGAACTTGGTTTCTGAATTTTGGTTCTGGTAATTTTCGTTTTCTTTTTTGTAGAAAATAGCCTACGTTGCATTTGAATCTTTTTATTATGAGGGACATTGATGTGCGTAGATGCAGGACTGGAAAAATTCGATACAGTTAATGCTGATAGTGTTGGTGCAATTGGCGCAATTGCTTTTTCGAAAACCTCAAGCTGTTGGATAGAAGAAGCGGACTCCAGCAGTTCCAAAAATTTCACTTTTATACTCTCTTTTTTATCATTAAATGTAGCTGTTGAATTTTCTTCTTTTTTACTTATTTCTGTAAGAATACATTCTTCAACTTTATTTTTAGAAATATCAGTAGGGGATAGTTGATTTCCACTGTTGGACTCTAAAACTACAAGCAGAACTATATATTAACAAACAAAACCGATATCCGTACTTCATTAACATTCAGTAACATTAAAATCAATTGTCAATCCAAAACCATAAATTAAATGTGTGAGTTGCAGCAAATAAAAATATTTGTTAGTTATATTATTATTATTTTTACCTTGTAAATTTTCTTGGTTTTCAGAATGTAAACCTCTGTATCTGCACAAGAGGTGAATGTGTTTACACATATTCCATTTGATTGCAGAATCTATGCAGGAACACCTGTATCGGTGGATGCATGAGCTACATTCGGTACAAAATATCTCACATTTGCAGTTTATTTCATTTTCTTCTACTGTATATACTTCATACTTTCTAGAGGAAGCAATGCTCCAACCATTCTCAGATGGAATTATTAAGGCCATATTCAAATCTAAGCTAATTTTGTGACGTATGCGCAATTCTTTGATTTTATTGCAAATTTTACCTTTATGTAAGACTATTAATGAATCAAACAGTTTGTCCCTGACGAATTTCATTATTGCTAAAATGGCTTTATCCAAACGTTTAACGGTTTTTCCATTTAAATATAAATACTTTAGTGTTCTGTGCATACGCTCTATGTGCATATTAGTATTTAAACCTGTATGCATCCTGTAACAATATGCCCAAAATTCTGATTTATTAGCATAATAACTTTTAAAATAATGCAAAAAGGGATGAAGATCAGGATCATTTTCCAATTGGTACTGAAACTCTTTTAACATTATTGAAAATGTGGGTACATCTGTTTCTTGTAAAATTATGCGCAGTTGTTTGTATACCAGCACCTGCAATACATATAGTTATTAATAAATTATATGATTTTACTAGCATTTATAATTTTGAATTATATTTATTCACCAAAGTGTACAAACCTGTTTTTCTTTGGTGGTAATTTTACACAAATTATTTCGCCATGCTCGATCCAAGTGCCAAGTACAATACAGTCTAAAAAAGAATGAAATTACTCTTAATTATTTAAATAATAACTTTGATAACTAACCTATGCTCAGGAAGAGTCATCACTTGTATCCATGCATTGTAAAATGAATCTGCTAGGTCAGACATGAAATTTTTACAGGATATTAGTCTTACTTTTTCTTTTATTGCGGAGAAAAATACATAAGGACCTCTTGATCGCTTCTGTTGGATATTAAAAATGCGCATGGAAATCCTTGTCTTAAATTATCCAACACTAAAACAGTATTCAGCTCAAACCCATATTCATTTGTTCCATGTGTACCATCTACACATACACAGTCTGAACCATATTTACACATTATTTCAGCTTGTGCATCAGTCATAATAATTAAAACAAAGTCGTTAGACTTCAAAAATGGATAATTTTCATTAGTGGTTTCTTGTGCTTTGTAAAATAAAACATTTCCAGTCGTCTCCATGTCTTTTACCCATGCATCCACACTAATTCCATCAACTTTGTGGTACCCTGAAGATGTATTTAAATTATATGCACATTCGATATTGTACAAATCTTTTTTTGTAAGAAGATGCAATCGTTCTAATTCAGAATTTCGAACAGAGTCACGCACTTCATCTAAAATAGTTGAAAATGGAATTCTCAAGGCAATTTTTTCAGCAATAGACTGGCGGTCAGATATACTTAGAAATAACTGTCCAATATCAGTTTGATGTCCAATATGTGTTTTTATAAAGTTGACTTCAACTTTTTCTGGCAAATCAACCACAACCGTGAGACCTGCTGGGCAAAATCCACCAATTTTTATGCTGCCTTTCATTTTTAAGTGCCTCTTTCCTTTGCCTTCAGAATTAAAGCAGCCTGACCGATGACACAGAAACTTCATTGTTTTGTGAGTCTTTGCGGAAAAGTTCTCTACTTTAACATATTTGGTTTTTGTATTATTTTCAATGGAATATTTCCACTCCTGAAAAGAGGCTAAATTGGAAAATTGAAGTGTTTCACTTTCTAAGATTAGGTTGTGTTCTTCTTGAAAGTGAGTGTGCAATTCTGCAACATAGCTTGAATGAAAATTGCACAAAGGACACTTCTTAGAATCTTTGTTGATTTTGCTATCTTCCTTATCTACGTTTTTTCATGATAACGTAAATGTTTTTTGTGGATGAAATTGTTACCACATATTCTACATTTAAAATTGTAATTTACTACTTCCACCTGCACTAATTCTGGGTGAAACTTCTTAATATGTTTACGTAAATTTGAGGTGTTTAAGAATACTTTTTTACAGTTTTTGCACTCGAAATCCATTTTCTTTCACGGGGTCTCGTAACGAAATTCAAAATTGAAATACAAATTCAGCTAACTACAGAGATATATCTGGCTAAATAACACAAATTGATCAATGCGACCGCACAATGCTGCACACATAAAGAAATTTCTCTATGGCTGCACAGTAGACTGATTTGTAATTGGTTAGGATCGCTATCTTGTCACTTGTTGCCAACTCACAATAAGATAATATTTCTAATTTGTAAAATAATAAAACTGTGTATTCAAAACAATTAAACATAACTCCTTATTTGTGTGAACAATCTGAAAACGTTTCGTGATGTGAGAAATGAGAACTGTTACATTCAAACCTGTACATAATTTGAATGACGCCTGTACATAATTTGAATGACGCGCCACACACAAAATCAAGTGCGATTTGATTGGTCAGGATTATCCTGACCTGCCAACGGCTAGACGCTAGTTATAATATATGTACTCAGACAGAAGCCACAAGTTTTTGTTAGAAAATGTTGAACACCACTTGGTCATTTATTGTTACCATAATTCTAAATGAGTTTATTCATACTTAAAAATGATGTAGTTACTTAAAATAAATGTAAATCTAATGAATAGTAGGAAATATTTATTAATGTACACATTTTTTTTTTTTTTTTTTTAATAAAATTGTTACTATTTTACGATTTTTTTATTTATTTGTATGCATATTTTGTAAAATATTTGCATATTTTCGGGTAAACACGTGCATATTTATGCGCATATTTTCTACATTTTTATTTGCATATTTGCCGAAGTCTAGTTATAATATTCGATTGGGAAGGGGTGATATGATAACTTGGAGTTTAGGGGGTACCGTCTTCGATAAAGAGGTAATGAATATAATTTAGAGATTCTAAAGTCAATTCGTTGGTTATTGTTTATTGAAGTGCCCTTTCTTATAAATTGTGTGTGCAAAAAAATTAAATACTAAATGTCGTTGGGTGGAATTTTGTATACAATTAAACAAATAATTTAAATTTAAAATCCTACTCAAAAATTACGATATACAATAATATTTTATTGAAACTTGTTTGATACATGGCGTAATCCACTTTTCAGTATCTACCGCCCTATATAGCGCCCCCAACCAGAGAAGATAGTCGCGGGAACAGATTTCTACCAATAACCGCTTTTTTGCCTGAAGGCATTTCGTGAGATAAATTTTTGATGGAATTCATTCTCTGGTGAGAGAATATTGATGACGTGGCCGATGTGACAAAAAAGACAATTGTGTGGACTGGAAAGAATCGAATGCTGAAAAAATAACTTGATTGTGTGCTCTCGCAGCATTGTAAAACGGGGAAGAAAAATAACGGTAACAAGATTTTTCTCAATCCAATTTAGTTTTTAAAATAAATGACGTAAATATATATCTCTTTGTTTTTTCTTTTAGTTAAAAGGTAAAATCTGCATAAAAGTAGATAAACAAACCATGCTTGAACCAAAATTTACTAGAAAAAAGTACTTAATAACCTAAAACGTAAAAAAACAAAACTTAAGAAATAAACAAGTGCCGTATAAAATGATTGAAGCAACTTCTTTGTAATATAGTGCAACGATATAGATTTCGAAAAAAATTAACTTCGAGGTAAAAATTCAAAATAATTAATAAAAATCTATTTGTTAATAAAAATCACTGTTAAGATAATTCCCTAATTTTTTTAATTTGGAATTAACGTGTCTCGACATCTTAGGTCATTGACACGGGACCTACACAGTTATGATACAGAGTTTACAATAGTGAAGAATAATAATATTATGCCTGGCAAGGTACGGTTAAGTTGTATTGATATCGTACTCCTAGTTTTTAATAAAAACAAGTGGTTTTATTAAACAGTTTTTTAAAATTAAAGTGTTTATCTACTAGATACTACTACGTAAGTCATCTATACGTAATTATTATTTTATTATTGTGAAAAGAAAAAGTCAAATAATAAATATAAACTACCATACAATCATTTTGTGAGGTTAGCTGCTATAAGTAGCTTATAGTAGCATGCGACTGGTTTTTCACTTACCAGAGTCGGAGTAAGACCTCCGCCACCGCACCTAAAAATGACTTCACACAATGTAAACACACCTTCCGATCTAACCAGTCCAGTAAATGAACGTTCGAATATCACAAACAGTTATGCTTCAGCCGCTTCACATTCTTTTCCGAGTAAGAACCAAGCAATTGTATTTAGTTGTATCGATAATGCTAAACTGCAGGATTATCTCATTCCTTTGGGCACAATCATCAACCCAAAAAATATTATTTTTTCATCTAGATTATCTCATAATAGAATCTGCATGTATTTGGCAAACAAGACCGTAGTAGATAACTTCATGACACAATATGGCTCTATAGAAGTACTCGGCGAAGTAGTAACAGCAAGAAGACTTGTCTCTCCGGCAGAAAGACTAGTCTTGTCTGGAGTCTGCCCGTCAATTCCTCATCAAGTATTAGTTGAAGAATTAGAGAATATCGGTTTAAAGCTTATTTCTCCAATAACATTTCTGAAAATTAGCTCGACTCTTCCCGAATATAGTCACATATTGAGCTTTCGGAGGCAAGTTTATATAAGCCCTATAACATCACCAATTCCAGATTCTATTCTAATAAATTTCGACCAAACACCTTACCGCATATTTTTGTCACAAGGTACACTCACCTGCTTTATTTGCAAAAATACAGGGCACATATCATCCCAATGCAAAAACAGTTCGGTAACGGAGTCAACTCATATTGAGTCAAACAATGAAGTACCAAATCAAACAGCTTCAACAAGTATACTACACAAGGTACCAAACACCCAGCAGTCATCAAGTTATCCATCATCAAATCCAAGCATATCACCTACACCTACAAATCTCCATGACAAAGAAATTACTAACGCTCCTACTCATAACAACACTTTCAATCAACCTCATTCAGTAGCAATACCGTTTTCACAAACTTCGGAAGCAATATCCTCCAATCTATCAGCTCCTTTTTCATTAGATACAACTGCAGAAAATTCTAATAAAACTGATACAATGAGACAATTTTCTGAAACAACCATTTCAACCAATCTTACAAATAAAATTTCAAGCTCGATTTCTGTCACTACCAAGGAGTTTGCTCCAGTACTTCCAAATGTAATAAAGCCACAGCATCTAAATGAAAACTCTTCCGAAAACACAAGTTCTTCCATAAAACGCAGTATTAGTGAGATCGTCACGCCTCCTTCAGACTCAGTAATTTCATCAGAAAATCTGTTTGCAAAACCCAAACCCTCTAAACCAAAAAAACCGCGCTCATATAAAGTCCCATCTACACGGGAAACTCTTGAAAATTTTATTGATAATCATACCCCACCATTCGTTTTAAATTACCACCAATTGTCCTTACTGATGGATAATGTCCAAGGCTCCTCCGACACTATTAGCGTCGTCAAAGAATTTACAACTGATATCTGTGGTTTACTCCATCTTTTACAAAGCAGCTATCAATATGCAAATGATAGATCTACAAAAAGCAAGTTTACAAAACTTCAAAAGAAACTACACAACCATTTAGAGAAAGAGATTTCTGACTTAGATAGTGACTCTTCTGTAGACAACTGTTCAGTATCATCTAACTCCGAATCTGTTAACAACATTCAACTCGATACTTCAATGGAACATTGATGGATTTTTTCATCGTCTCCCTATGCTACAGCTTCTTTTATCTAAATATTCTCCAGATATTATTATTTCTTATGAACATGGAAGATGCGTCCAATTTTTATGGGTTCCCTCAAACGTCGGAATAACAAGAAATGAAGAAGCTGACAGGACTGCACGAGAGGCAATTTTAAGTGATTTGTTACAGCCGATAGACAAGTGTGTTTTTAGTGAC